CAGGAGGGTTTGGATGATCCTCTGGGGCACAGGGGGTGACTCTTGGGGATGGACCTGTGCAGGGCCAGGGGTTGGACTGGATGATCCTTGGGGGTCCCTTCCAGCTCAGCATGTTCTGGCATTCTGTGATTTTCCCACCAACTTTCATGTGGAGGTCACTCGGTTTCCAGGATCAGGACAGGGAGCAGTGTCTGGGAGCTTTGGGTGCTGTTCCATCCTGTGAGCAGTGAGGCCTTTACCCTCCCAGGAACTAATTTTAGCATCAAAGCCTTGTTTTGTGCACCTGATCTGTAATCCTCGTGTGATCCCCACCTCTAAATGTGGTGTGCATGGGGTATCCTGGAATGAGTACACCAACCACACTGTCCTGGTCCCATGAAATTCCAGAGCTCCACAATGAAGGAGTGGCTACCATGAAGTTTTTGTGTGTAGCCATTGAAATATTTCGCCCTGAAGCCGGGAAAGACTCATGGAAAACAGTTTTCTTACTGCAAAGTTACAGTCCCTGTGTTCCACCTAAGTAGGTGGATACACTGTTTTTCTGGGCAAGTGAAATATTTTCAGGAATGTTCCTGGCATATCACTATGTGGGTTTAAGTAAGTAAGTAAATAACAGTACTGCAATATCTGTATTTAAATATGTACTTTTAATATATATTTTAAATATGTATTCTATATTTTATATATTTTAAATTTTATAGTGTATTATGTCATTACTATTTTATTTATATATTTATAAATGTTTGTTTAAATTTGTGTATATGTTTTATATATTAATATGTTTAATTATATATTAACTAATGTGTTTATGTTTATTTTTACTTATAGTTATGCATATAATAGGTATATGTAAAATATTTAGTAAAAGTACTTCAATATATGTGAAGGTTAAAGACTTATGTAGGTAGACAAGCCAATTGACCTGCTGTCCCCAACTTTTGAAATCAGTCCACCAGCAGCTCCAGCACTGGCTTCCTGCTGGGGTTATTTTATTCAAAGTTCTCCCTCCTCAGTGGATTGTTTTCCTTCAGCCTCAGAGCTTCAGGGGTTGGCAAGAAAACCAGCCCTAAAAAAGGAGGTGGTGGACTGGACTATTTCCACTTTGCCCTTTTTATTTTAGTGGCTGCTTTTGAAAGCCTTGTCAGAGGCTTCCCATGCTATGCCAGAGCTGAACTCTGCCTATAGAAATTGTCAGCAAAGCCCTCACGGCTCCAGTGCTGAAGCTGCAGTACATCCCAAAATCCCTGCTCCTGTCAGGCCTGGGAATTCTGACTCAAAGGTTTCGGAAAATGCCCTTCTGAAAGAACTGGTTCTATGTCCTGGCCGAGCGTGAGATGAAGCTTAATTTTCTTCCTTGTTTTCCTCTGGAAGACAAGGGAAATGAGGAACGTGTGGAGAGTGGGGGGCTTTTCATTTGCAAAAGTCCTAATTAGCATTTTCCCAGCGTGCAGGGCGGGATAATCGGGGTTGGATGCTGTCAGGAAATCCGTGGGTACTCGGCTTCTGGGCACGGAG